GAATTAGTTTTTTGAGGGCAAACGAAGTCGAATCATCATTCATCAGGAAATTATAGGACAGGAGAGCGGTCCCATTTTTCGGTATCTGTTCTGTTTTCATGGTTTTCCTCTTCTTTCTCTGACCATACCATCCTTACCTAATTGCAATTCGTTGCTTTTTCGAAGTAATGCTTTTTTAAGTATATAAATCGGGCCACGATGTCGCCTGCCTCAGGGCTTCGATATTGTGGAGCTTAGCGCATGATTTTTTCTTACCCTCTTCAAATGACCAGAGAATATGTTGCAACTGCCAGAATGACCGTGGCAATTAAAGGGGTTGCATCGATTCAAGACTAATATTCTTTTCATCGAACTTGCAATCAGAACCCGGTTCACATGTGGCTAAAGTTTCGATGAAATATGACTCACGTGGAGTCAAAGATGTCTTGAAATCGATGCCACTTTAATGACCCAGCACATTCGCCATTCTGCAAATGCTGCGTCATTTAATGGCGATTGTACACATACTTGAACGTCGTAAACTAAACTCTTCAACGTTATGTCTTTCGAGATCGTACGGATGCTGGCACCAAACGCAAGAATATTCGATCTATGCAGTTAAGAGACAACTGGCAAAATGCGCGCACTTCAGGAGCTTTCTGGCCATAAAGGCAACGAATATAAGGCTCGAGAATTTAGGAACGTTGTTTACTTCGATCAGACACGATTGCTCACCTCCGTGTAGCTCAGCGAACTCCTGATATGATCAAAAAAGCTGGTGTTGTAGCATATACCGACTACTGTAGTCTACGCATTCAATTACAGACCACCTTTCAGGCTCCATTCTCTAGGTTTTGATCTGATGTTATCAAAGTTGATCAAGATATTTGACCAGGTCAAACACTATTTAAACCCCACGCTTTCCCTAGATTTCTCACAGTACTCAGTTTTCTCCTGCAGTAAACTTCTACTTCAGACTCCACTCCACTCGTCAGAAGGCGGATATAGTTGACAGAGGCGCAGCCCGTCCGCCAACTTTTTACACTTTACTGACACCCTTGCTGGGCACATTTATGTTAAAAAAAAATATGTTAACAACAATACGCCTCTGGGCATTTATCACATGCCAAGGATACACTAGAGTATCCTTGCTTGCAAAGAGCCTCACTAGTTAAGGATATACGGTACTCACCTGTATGCATCCACTTTTGCTGCTACTGTCCCGACTTACAATTCGAATTTTTATTCCAAGTTACCGAACTAAAGTCGCTAAGCATATTACAGGAGCGTAGGGGGGGGGGCAAAAATGAGTCAGTTTGCCTGTGGATCGATTATCAGCAGCATTTTCTCGCAAAGGATGCGCTGTTATTGTTGAGCTTACACGTCATTAACCTAGGAGTTCCCCACAAGCGAAATCAGACCCACCTTTCTCTTCACCGTCTCCGAGGTAGAACTCATCTGTCATCCCTCGAGTTCAGGAAGGCCATACAATAAAGCCTCTTCATTCTGAAGCTGTACAAATTCTTAGCCCACATAACTGTATTGTTTTCTCAGGAACTATTTCTGACTATGCGAGAAGAACTTTTGATTGCTTCAGCACTTAATAGTCTATGGTTTCTCAACGCCTCGTTGACTCGTTTACCGCGAACCATGTTCCCGTGGCAAAATCTTCTGATGTCGTCGGTGTAGAAAGGCCCTATGTAATGTTTTTGATAGAATAGAATGTGCTCTTCGATATGCAATTGAGCTCATTCGGTTTGGTTTGGCAAAGTGTAATTAATTCTGTTTTGAATGATGAGTGAGAGTGACTCTTTTTTTTTGGCCCCTTTCAGCGGACTATTATTGACGATCTGCCACTGCTTATGCTGAAAAGCACTGGGAGCAACGCTGAACGCACTGGAAGAACATAATGCACCTCGCGACTTTACCCTTGAATTATAAAATTTATGTTGCGCGTTTTCCGAAAATTGTCCACTGGACGGTTCATAAGCTTAGACAGGGAATGTGCTGATCCTTCAATGGGTAGAAACTCCGTCTCTTATTACAAAGTGATGAACTTTCTGACACTTCGAAAACAGGAAGGAAAGTGAGAAACATCAATTATTAAACACAACCATGCGATGTGATCGGTGCGGTAGTGTAATTGAAGGGCTTTTTGCGTAAACAACGTCATCAATCGCCGTTTGCGCCTATTTTAGAAATTTTAGAGAGCTATGTCCTCACACTCGGCCATTTTGAATATCAAGTCAACTAAAAGTTAATTTTTTTTTCTGAGCAGAGTTACGCTCTTACACTATGAAATATTGCATACTTCACATGAATCAACCCAAATCTTATCCGATATTCGAGTATGGGCGCTATCCCAAGGACGGAATATCTGAGACTAACCTGATGCGGGGCTTAAAGCGGGAAAACGAACATTGCTTAGGCACTTTGGAGTCTTTCCTCCTCTGGCTGAGGCTTGGTCCCTTCCTCATCGAATGGTGGACGTATCACGCAGCTTTGAGCGTGCTTGCATCACAATGACCCCGTATCTTGCGAAAGCATTCAAATATGAAGGAAATCTTTATCATAGGGAGGAGCGTATAATTTGACAGAGACTTCACCATTATACCATCTCAGAGCGGTCCCACACAGAACAAGGAACTTCCATCCGTCTGACTGTCATGATTGATAACATATGTGCTTGGAGGTTAACAACTCCGATTTGAACATTGAGCTGCACGTCACATCGCTATGTAGACCAAATACGCATTCAGCAGCCTGAAAGGTCCTAACTGGACAAGGGAGGTACTTAACGCGACCCTATTCTCCTTGACGTTCCTCCAAAACATTGATCGTCATGGTTTTCCTCTTTAAGCAAGCCCCGGGATAAAACTGGTGATAGCGGTGACTGAGCTGCGGAACGACCTGAAAGTGGAAAGGAAAGCAAGAGAATCTTGGGAACGCTGAAATTAAGGCCTTAACCTTCAATAAGGTCGGATGTGGTACGATGGCGAGACAGGGCGGTCAAAGAAGACAAAACACGCGAGAGATCACGCCGTTCGAGAGAGCACGCTGATCTCGAGGTGGGTGGGAAGCGTTGCAACGGGGGTCGATGGTTGCAGGCCCGTAAGGATTAGCGCCCTAACCGCGCAATTTTTGCGACGAAGCTGGAGTGATCTAGGTAGGTACGGACCTTACAATTTCCCTCGCGGTATCCTTCCCACAAGTTCAGCTAATCCCAAATCCCGGGGTTTGCCTTAGGGTTTCTACAGGTGCCCTTTTTGGGGTTTAATAAAACAACATGTAGTAGTGGTAGAAACGATGACTTGCAAATTTGTTTCGATTCAAATAAGTTTGGATGAAGTATCAAGCCTCCAAAGCGATATAGCCCGAAAGCGAGACCGTTACAGTTTGTCCCAAAAACGTCATGCATTCTTCTGCACTTCCATTAAGAACCGTAATAACACACATTAAAGGAAGGCCCAGGATGAAACTGGTGTATAAGCGTATCGTAGTGATGAGTGAGCTGCGGAATGAACTGGAAATGGAACCGAAAGCAAGAGAAGCCATTGGAAACACTAAAATTAACGCCTCAACCTCCAGTAAAGTACAACCGCGAAATAGGACGATCACAGAAGACACAACACCCGAGCGCACGCCATTCGAGAGAGAGAGCGCTGATCTTACATCAACTGCGGTGGGTGGGAAGCGTTGCAAAGGGTCGATGGTTGCAGCCCCTTAACGATTAGCGCCCTAATCGCGCATTTTGTGCAACAGGTGTGGCACGCTCTCTCTAGGTACGAGCGCTGCAACTTCCCTCGAGTATCCTTCTTAAGCCGATGTCAAATTTGCAAATCCAGCGATTCGCTAGCGACTTCCACTTTAAAGGAGCACACTGTTTGAAAGTGGCGGGAATTCCTTTAAACGTTGGGTCCCGCCACTTTCAAACAGTGTTGAGTCGCTGGTACATCGTTCGACTCGCTGGTACATCGTTCGTCGCTGGCACAAAGTTCGAGCTGGTACACAGCTCGATTCGCTGGTGCAACGCTCGTATCCAGCAATTCGCTAGCGAATCGGTGGATACGAGCGTTACATCAGCGCTGGGGCGATTCCGGGGCTTGCCTTTATGGTGGCGTGTTTAGCCGTCAGCCTGCAGTGTTGTCCTGTACAGTGAACTGTGGCGCCAGTCCAACGTACAGTTAGTGCTATTATCTTCCAGACGAGACTTGATTCAATTCAAACTCGAAATAACGTCACAAGAGACGCACGACTGGCTTAAGCGAAATTTGATTCCACGGTGACGTAGCACCCCTGTCCGTTCATCACCATCAACCTTTTCAACCTGAGTTCTGGTTTGCAGAGTGCTCTTCATTTTTGCACAATCACAATGTCTTGGCGAACTGGTGTCATTAGATCATTTTCGAGTAGAAAATAGATATATAACCTTTCTTGAAACCTGCAATTAGTCAACATTTTTCACACAATATGGCAACATGAACAAAGCACAAGATACACTCGAAGAATGCACCAAAACTTCACGACAGTTAGTAGAAACGCGGCCTGAAAGAAGCATTCAGGATATTAAAACTAACCAGAAAATATCTGTGTAGCCACTACGCCTGCAGGTGGTAACTAAAGGGAAGTAGCTGAGACTGCTGAATGGAAGCTCTGCCGACCCTTGCAACAAACACATTAAGGATCGAAGAAAACATCGACTACCAATCAGAAATTATGCAGCTCAATCCTCACAGACTTTGAAGACCTTTTCTAAATAGACTACTCCCCAGGTAGCTCTGTCTTGAATCAGGAAGATCCACTAACAATTTTTCAAATCTTGTATATCGCACCTTTGATTCTTACTTCTGTTTCATGCGAAGATGTTGTTTGTAACGTCGAACGAAGCAGATGTAAGTGATCAAAGCGACGAGGACGACGACAAGAATGGCAACACCGGCGATGAGCAGCAGAATTTGCGTTGGAAGCTGGAACGTTGACTGGCGAAGTCACTGGCGTCGAAAAAAAAAAAAAGTTTTGCTTCAAACGCTAGAACAATTTATGGATCTCTTAAGGAGTGAATTTCGATGAGTACTAAAAGAGGATACGACCTCGAGTTGACACATGTAGAATGTAAGCCTTCGAGCTGACCACTGTTTTCTACCCGCGGACTGAAAACGATAGCGCCGAAAATGGCAGAACGCTCATTTTGTACCCGTTCATTCATCACCACGTGGAAACAGACTGATGTCCTGAAATTACTGCTCGGTTTCCCGCAGAAGCCGCTTAGGTAATGTTTATATTCAAAATACCAAGAAATGTGGAGACGAAGAGATAACGAGCAAGATACATATTGATTAGCAGAATAGGAGATTAACAAGGAAGAATCAGAATAGGATTGACAGGTTCAACTCCTAATCTCCTGTTCTCCTAAGCTGAATTTCATGAACTAGAGCGCTCCTATCGCCTAATCTCCTCATCTCCCAAAACGTCGTCTATAGATGCGGCCTGCGGCCTTGAAGGAAAGGGTTTGCACAGACCTTGTCGCGTTTCGAATGTCCCTCTCCGGCTCCGAGAAGAACACCTGCATTTGTCCCTCTGGATGATCGGCCTTGAGAGCTTCTTGCAGTTTCCTAAAATGTACAAGGCCGATGGAACCGTCCTCAATTTTATTGCGTTTTTCTTACTTTGAAAATTGTTCACGACCGGTGGCGAATTCTTCCAGTCCCATGCTGAAGACGTAGCGCAGTTTCATGTCGTCTTTCACGTAGTGGAACTTAAAAGCATAAAAATTAGCATGAAAATAAGAATAATAGAAAATGACTTACTTTTTTGACGATGCGCTGTAGCGGCTCAGCGGATTTCGTGTCGACAGCATTCACCACAACGCTGTAGACGCCTTGGGGTTGCTCGGAAAGCTGCGGATTTGCACTTACATCACCGCTGATGGGATCAACGAAGAACAGTGCGGATGTGGCGCTGTTGGGGACACCAATCCCGTTCTGGGTGCTGAAAACGAAAAAGCGATATCGAGTACTGGTGAAGAAGTATCCTGAGGCGAAACTTACGGAGTGAATTGCACATGGTCAAGGGAATAGCGCACACTGCGTTCAGGACCTTCAGCAGTGGCAACTGGAATCGAGGCGCTACGCATGTTGTCGCCTGAAAAAAAAACCGTTAGATTTCTCTACAGCAAAGCTGATGGAACCTGGACAAGCAGCACTCACGAAGGATCGTGACAGAATTGTTCTGTACCATCGGCAGTTGAGGAGAGGATGGCCGCTCAGTCTCAAAAGCAACCACTGCCCGAAGAATACTGGCATTCTTGGCATCGAAAACAACATCGTCCACGTTAAGGCCGCCATGAGTGCTGCGAGAAAGCTATCTTCTAGGGCTTTTGTGAAAGTAGGACGGTGACACAGCAAATATGTGCAAATAGCATGAAAAGATAGGGCACAGCGTGGGTTAGGTGGAGAATAGCAGCTGCTTCAGCATATGTTGGGGGGGCTATACACCAATGAAATTTACAAGAGTCAACAGCTTTCATTTGTTAAGCTCTTCAATTGGCACCATCAGGGCGGAATTTAGAACACGACTTTGCCTGGAGGTCGGCTCCCCTGCCACATAGTAATTAAAGTCATTGTTAGGTCAAGTTGGCGTTAAGTGACCACGCTCGGAGTGCAAGGGGATATGCGTGGGCGCATCAGGAAAAATGAGATTGCTCATGGCGAATGGCAAAATCGGAGTTTGACTGAATGTACAAGGGACAGCGAGGTTGTGTTGGTGTAACGACAGCAATGAAAAAACGCAGCATAAAGAGACAACAAAAAGCCCAACCCAGCGGCGAAGCGAAATAGCAACTTGTGGCCGGGCTCAATGGAGTTGTGCGGGGCCAATGCCGCAGCTTAGGACTCTAACGCCTTGGCCTTGTCAAGCTAACTCGGAAGTTGAGTGTATGCTTGCAGCTTGCGTACCACTGCATGTTCCTCGGAGCGAAGCTTAAAATTAGTTCCGACCAGAATTCTCAGACCTTGCATTTAAATATCTTTGATCGAATAATGCTCGGATGGCGACTAGCGATGGTGTAATAGGGAAAATCCTTCAGGCAACTTTACAGAGATGACGTTAGCGTTCTGATGACTTGGCCTAAGAACTCCCTCTGGAATTCTTTATCTGCATCATTTAGGCAAGTTTGCTGAAAGGCGACACGGCTACAACTGTTTAAACAAGATATAAAGAATTGCAAATGACATTGAGCGGCTGGATTGGAAAAGCCGACGTTTCTGCAAAAGAGTTGAAGCCTAATAGCGGTTTTTCTTGACTCTGTGACTTGAATTTCCCAATTTGAAGGTAGACTTTAGAAGCCAAGTAGCAGTCCTTTCACACAAGACCACCCGACTAGGTGAGAGAACACGCCTTATGGGATCAGATATCCAATATCAATCAAACCTTCTAATCTACGGTCATTCAAAAGATTTCCGGATTTCCTGGTAGGATGAGACACTGAAATACCATGAGCCAATGTGGCCGAAGAAATTCAGGTAAGCATTCAAACCACTAGCGATCTAGTATAAGTCGATTACATGGCGCGCTTTGAGGCGATGGAAACGGTGAATGGTTGTTTGCCTTTTTTCTCAATATTCGTTGTAGTCGTGTCATATGTCCTTGACAGAAAAACAATTGAAAATCAGGTCAGGTAACCGTCGACAGTTAAATGACATGTGCGTTCTATATCTACACGAGAGACGGCTGTTGTAGACATGGTGAGCGACCGATAGATGAGAGCCCGTCCTGATCATGATAAGGTTCGGCTGCTGCTTGTGGCGAATATTCCTTTCACTCTCACTGACTTCCACAAGACCTCATGCGGGCATCCTCGGAGTTTGAAGATTGTAGCTCCGCTCCATGTGAGGAATTTTGTCGTCGATGAAAACGGTGCCCGCGTAATCGCCATTTTCGGCCCTCGACACCAGCTCTTTGAACTTTTTGTCTCTGCTGTGCTCCTCCCGTTGGATTGAGCAGTGGTGCTTATGCAACTTATAATGGACTGTGAGCAGTTGTTATCTGACCACTCTCTACATGGCTGTGTTTAGAAACTCCAGCGTTCTGGTCACCTTTCTCGAGCCAACCCTGGTCTATTGCAGTCGTTTCGCGCCATA